GGAAAGAACTAAAGATCAGAGTTCATAGAAGAGGTCCATGAAACCTTCAAGATTTGAAGACTCAAATAACTTCATTTCTGGACATTTATGGTTTGATTTCTTTGTATGTATGGATCACTTGGGTTGTTACCGACATCTGATGAAAATTTCATGTCATTAGCACCTCTAGTAATATATTTACTGAGAAAAGTGTTGACGTGTTCAATACGTATTTTACCCGCTGTAAGTGTACTTATGCCTACTCTTTTGAGTGCATGAAAATTTATTAACAAGAAAGAAAGAAAGACAATAAAGTACGTCAGCTAAAACATTGCGTCACTGTGAATTACATTAAGATTTTTCTAAAATGTGTAAAGAACATTGGTAAAAAAAAACTAAACGATTTTAGACTGACATCTTTCACGTATTTATACATGCCGAGGAGAACAGTTTCAATCAGATGTTTACATACTGTAGTTTTGGTTTGAACCGCTCAAAGCTTCGTTTCCTCAGATGCAGTAGTACTGAGTCTGAGGAAACAAAGCTTTGAGCGGCACTACTGCGTCTGAGCGCAAAACTTTGCAAACAAAAGTTGTCATGGCCTCTGTTATCTTTACGTTCAGCTGAGACTCAGCTGTAATGTTAGTGATTCCTTTGTTTCTTTTGCTTTGCTCCAGACAACTTGTTGTCAGGAGCTAACATTAGCACTGACCGTCAACTGGATGTAAACCCTACGGCAAGCCAGTAGTGACACACAACACGGAAACACGCAGCTTCATCGCACACAAACACCCATTGGGAAAAAATCGATCTCACGACTAATGAATCGATCTTCCCAAATTTGAACGAGAATCGATCCAGATCGATTAAATCTATTTTTTTAAACCAGCCCTGTTGAACACATCTGAATACTCTTCCTTTGTCTTGTAGATATTCGTTGGAAAGATTCCCCGCGACTTGTTCGAAGACGAGCTGGTTCCTCTGTTTGAGAAAGCCGGGCCGATCTGGGACCTCCGGCTAATGATGGACCCCCTGAGCAGCCTGAACAGGGGCTATGCCTTCGTCACGTTCTGCACTAAAGAAGCAGCCCAGGAGGCCGTGAAGCTGGTACCTGCATGGTTCTGATCATTGATCTATATTACTGGACAGGACATCACGTGACTTACCGTGCGCCGCACAGGAGTCATTGCTATGCACTGAGTCATGTCAACAAAACGGTAGAGTTTCAATGCGGGATGCGCGTCATCGGTCACAAAAATATTCAAAGCACCCTCATTTTTTATCAGATTTCTATAAAATATGACTTAAATTAAAGCTGTGAAAGGCTTCTTACTGTAAATACGTTAGCACAAACCTATAATGAAATGTTCCCAGACTGCTTATAGATTTATCTCTTGAGCAAATACATATTTTTTACATATCACAACATCGGCAATTTTCTCAGCTTTAATTTAAGCCATGTTTTATAGAAATCGGATAAGAAATGAGGGAGCTATGAATATTTTTGTGACAGATTGACGCGTATCCCACATTGAAACTCTACCGTTTTGTTGACATGACTCAATGCATAGCAATGGCTCCTATGACGGCGCGTCGCTAGCTATAGCGGCTATAGGCGATGTCCAATCCAGTATTATAGATCAATGGTTCCGATGGCATTAGTGTTTGTCCTCAGAGGCTCTGGTGGTAACGATGCTCCTTATGTGTTTTTGACAGTACAATAACTACAAGATCCGGCCGGGGAAACATATCGGCGTGTGCATATCTGTGGCTAACAACCGCCTCTTCGTTGGCTCCATCCCAAAGAACAAAACCAAGGATCAGATTGTGGAAGAGTTCGCTAAAGTGACAGGTAAAGTTCAGGTGTTTTGACGTGTGGAGGTGAGATGTCTGGATTTGACCCGCTGTGTGTGTCTGAGCAGAAGGCCTGAGTGATGTCATCCTCTACCTCCAACCTGACGACAAGAAGAAGAACAGAGGCTTCTGCTTCCTGGAGTACGAAGACCACAAAACGGCCGCTCAGGCGCGCCGCCGGCTGATGAGCGGGAAGGTGAAGGTGTGGAACAGCCTGGTGACGGTGGAGTGGGCCGACCCCATCGAGGACCCTGACCCGGAGATCATGGCCAAGGTGAGCCACGAGAGCAGAAACTGGACACCTGAGGAGAGCAGGAGAGCTGAGGTTGTCTCGCTCTGTGCTGCAGGTGAAGGTCCTGTTTGTCAGGAACCTGGCTAACGGCGTCACCGAGGAGATTCTGGAGAAGGCCTTCAGTCAGTTTGGAAAACTGGAGCGAGTGAAGAAGCTTAAAGACTACGCCTTCGTTCACTTCGAGGAGCGGAACGACGCGGTGAAGGTACCGCTCTGACTCTCAGGTCACATGCTGTCTCCTCTGGGACGCGCCGACACCTGAGGCTGGCTTTTCTCTGCAGGCGCTGGAGGAGATGAACGGGGAGGAGCTGGAGGGAGAGCCCGTCGAAATCGTGTTCGCCAAACCGCCGGATCAGAAGAGGAAGGAGCGCAAAGCCCAGAGACAGGCAGCCAAAACACTAATGTAAGACATGTCTCATCTGTGCATTTACACACTGCTGGCCAGCAGGGGTTGAGCTGGAGGGCCGTCCACTGAGATCAAAAAATAAATAAGTAGGTCCTCTGGATGGGTTCTTCTTTAATGAAACGTTTCGTCTCTCCTCCAAGAGACTTCTTCAGTCTGAGTTTCAGGTGAACTCAGCCTTATAAGCACTGCCTCCACATGGACAAACAGGTTATTCACATGCAAAAGAGGACCATCGACTAACCCCCAATTTACATTGCTTGCGTTCCGTCTCCGCTCCGACCTCCGCAGCAAATACACACCCATTCTAATCAATGAGACTTTACAGTGGCTGTGCACAGCGGCGGTGAGCGACGGCGATCTGTCAAAATTAGAACAGATCCTATTTTTGCCGGATGCCGGAGCTGCGCCGGGGTCAGTTTTTAAAGATTATGTCGCACCAACAGGAAAAGACACGAGCACATCATCCGTATTTTCAAAATAAGACACTATTCGGCGGAATAATTTGTCGGAATAATGTCGAAATTGCAGCTATATTAATAAATATACGGATATATTTCTACACAAATGCTGTCAGAGTGTATCGTTCTGTTTGGGAAGCAGATGGAAATGTAGCATGAAGTAGTATAACGTAGTATGTGTACACACACGATACACATGGATTTTATTTTGAAATCAGAAGTTTCAGAAAGCCGACAGTGAGACAATTTCAGCATAGATACCAAAAGCCTTTATATCGTTGTTTTCAGCTGTGTTTGGAGTTCGTCTTTCACAGAATTAATTATTTTTTGCTCTGACTTCCACATTTATCACTGAATTTATCGCGTGATCGGCTTCCTGCATGTCTGTCGGAGCGGAGGTGGTGTAAACTGGACTTGAAACGCACAGCTGCGACCTGCGCAGTGGAGACGCATGCAGTATAAATCCGGGGTAACAATAGGCTTGATTAGTTCTATTGTTCATAGAGAGTCATGTGCCTCATCATCTGACCCATGTTGTGTTATGTGTATGTAGTGAATGCAAGCAGGGGCTCAACGTCCCCTTGTTTTTGTCCCTCTCTTCCTCTTTGTGTTTTGGTATCATTGGGGCCCTGATTCACACCTTTTGCTCACAAAAAGGGACAAAAACAAGGGGACGTTGAACCCCCGCTTGCATTCACTACATACACATAACACAACACGGGTCAGGTGATGGGGCACATGACCCTCTATGAATAATAGAGCTAATCAAGCCTATTGTTAGTCAGTGGCCCTCTTTTGCATATAACTAACCTGTTTGTCCATGTGGAGGCAGTGCTTATAAGGCTGAGTTCCCTGAAACTCAGACTGAAGAAGTCTCTTGGAGGAGAGACGAGACGTTTCACTAAAAAAAGAACCCATCCAGAGGACCTACTTATTGTTTTCTTTTTGATTTTTTTCCACCTGGATTACTGAGATGCATCAGAACACCGTCCACTGAGAGTTTCTGTTTAACTCTACATACATTTCCTTCTGTAACAGTTATTTTATGAAGCCAGAGGAGCTCTTCCTCTGAATAAATGAAAACTATGTAATACAGTTGTTTACACTTAAATTAAAAATATTTGACCAAAGAAAAACCAGAGCAGGACTACAGAGAGGTGAATATGATTTAGATTTTTATTTCTGTGACTGTGTACGACCCACAGGAGACAACATTAACAGCAGTAGTTATTTCATTCTTTGGCTTTAGCAGCTCCTTTAATTCCACAGCTGACGCTGCTAAAAATGACAGATTTTTTTTTTCTCGCTCTCGGAGAGCAGGACTTTAATCTGTAAACTCATAAAGTTCTTCTTTTTACTTTTCGCTGTAATTTTCATGAATGGACACTTCCTGATATCTGAGGCAGGAAACATAGCCTTACATGGTGCTTTTGGGGTGGTAATTATGCTAATCTCCTCTCCTCGTACGCGAGCAGCTGGGTACGAACAGGTGGAATTCACCATGTTTACGCAGCTCATTTACACACTTTTCCTGAAGATAAGAGTTTGTTGAATCTGACATGTTCGTACGAACAAAAGTAAGAGAAAAGTAAGAGAAATTTAGGATAAGAATACAAACTTGTTCTTGCATGTGGCCCATTGTGCTCAAAGAATGAGGTCAGCTGACATGAATATACTGAACGACCAGGTTATTCCATCAATGGATTGTTTCTTCCCTGATGGCACGGCCATATTCCAAGATGACTATGTCAGAATTCATGGGGCTCTTATTGTGAAAGAGTGGTTCAGGGAGCATGAGACATTATTTCACACATGGATTGGCTCCACAGAGTCCACTGAGAATCTTTGGGATGTGCTGGAGAAGCTCAGACTCTACCATCATCAATGACAGATCTTGGTGAAACATTTAATCAATGGATGAAATAAATCTGCTGACATTGCAGAAGTTGATCAAACAGTGCCACAGATAATGTGTGTCACAATCAAAGCTAAAGGTCCAGCAGAATATTAGTGATCTTTGTTTTGTATAATCTGACCTCTGACCCTCAGCAGGTTCACATGTTCATGAAATTAGTTAGAATTTGTGTTTAATTTTTGTTTCATCTTCTTTCAGGTATGATGATTACTACTACTACTCTCCCGCTCCCCCCATGCCTCCCCCGACCAGAAGCCGGGGCAGAGGTTCCAGCCGGGGGGGCTACTCCTACCCCCCTGACTACTACAGCTACGACGATTATTACGATTACTACGGCTACGACTACCACAACTACCGCGGCGGCTACGACGACCCGTACTACGGGTACGAGGACTACCCGGCCCCCAGCCGGGGGCGGGGCGGCGGCAGAAGCTACGGGGGCGGAGCCTCGCCGTCCAGAGGACCCAGAGGCAGGGCCGGCTACCCCCAGCGCGGCGGGTCCGGATCGAGCCGTGGCGGCGGACGCGGACCGAGGGGCGGACAGCCGCGAGGACGAGGAGGGGTACGTGGTGCGCGGGGCGGCCGCGGTGGAAATGTAGGAGGAAAGCGCAAAGCTGACGGGTACAACCAGCCAGATTCCAAACGGCGCCAGACCAATAATCAGAACTGGGGCTCGCAACCCATTGCTCAGCAACCGCTCCACGGTGCGGACCACTCTGGTAACTATTCCGGTTACAAATCTGACGAGGAATTTTATCAGGATTCTTTTGGGCAGCAGTGGAAGTAAACCTGTAGAGCTTTGATACAAAACACGTCTTTTTTGTTGTTGTTTGGATTTAAAGACTTGATCTGATTGGCTCTTCATCCTCAGTACAGTCGCTTGCATTTTTTTCACATTTTTACTCCAAATTGGTGACATGTGGCAAGATGTTTTGTATATATTTTAACAATTTGTTGGACTCAGAGGTAGTCACACTCCCTCTTGTTTCTGGCCAACTGCTTCTCCTTTCCCCTCCGTTTTGTTTTTTTTTTTTATTAAGATTGTTGCAAAAGATTTTCCACAGCAAACTTTAAAAAATCTTTTAGATGGAGATATTTAGCTTTTAAGCTTTATTGTGTTTTTAGTCATTCTCTGGTTTCCATGTTCAAATAGCTAACAGCAACAAAGCATATGTCTCCTAAACATGTATTTAAATTACAATTTGTATTGTCAAAGTAATGCGTGTCTTGTTATTGGAAAAGAAAAAAAGAAAAGAAAAAAAAAACAAGGACCAGGGCAGTCCTACTTTTTTGGCTTCACATTTTGGCTTGTATTCTTTGCTGTTTGTCTGCTTTAATAAACATACACGACGCACACGTGTACAAAAACCTCAAATTGTGTCACAAATTCATGTTTCGGCAAATTCTCTCCTCAAATTCTCCTTCAAATTGTGAAGGCTCCTTGTGGACGAAAGCGGACCAAAGGTTTGCCCCACAGTGTCACCTTGCATGCCATCAAATTCCAAATCACCTACTTCTGTAGTCTCTCAGTGCTCTGTATGTGTGGTGACATACTTCATCCTTATGAGTTCCTCTCATGTCCAAAAACACATTAACGCCTCACCAATTGGTGTCCTAAATTCAGCGCAGCATCGAGCGTACGCCCTGAGCTCCTGCAGCCGCCGGCGGGGAGAAAACCACAATCTGACCTTTAGACTCAGAGCTTTTCTTGTCCCAGAAGGATCTTTGCTGTTTCAGGCCTGGATACTAACCCTGCATGTTTGTGGGAGATAACTGCTTTGCATGACTCACCTGTATCTTTATTATTATTATTATTTGTCTTTCTGCTCACTTCTTTTTTACGTCTTTCACTCGTCCACAGGGTTCCTACACCGCCTGCAAAACCTGGTTTCAGACTTTAGGATTTTCCAGATCTTAATTTTAAACTCTAAATATAAAGAAAGCCTATCTTGTATTAAAATATACCTACTGCTGAGCCCTGAAGCAGCTACAACGTGCTAATTATAGCTAAACTGTAGCTAAAGCCTACGTTTATAAAGAGGTAAAATCTAAATCTTATTAAAAACAAATATTAAAAATTAGGCTAACTATAGCTAACGTAGATTAGCATAGCCAAATAGTAAAACTTGTTAGACTGGAGTTTAAAGCTAAACTGATCAAACAGTAAAATCACAGCTAAAAGTAGCTTAAGAAGCTAAAATCCGAGCCAGTAGCTGAAGCAGAATTCAGGACTTGTCTGAAGGTAACTGATGTGTGAAACTAAAGAACCTGACTGGGTCTACGGAGCCCGCGAGGGGACTTGGGGGATTTTTTTTCTTTTGCGTTCCCTCGCAATACTTTAGTGTTCCCACGCAAATACTTTAGCGTTCCCTCGCAAATACTTTAGCGTTCCCTCGCAAATACTTTAGCGTTCCCTCGCAAATACTTTAGCGTTCCCTCGCAAATACTTTAGCGTTCCCTCGCAAATACTTTAGCGTTACCTCGCAAATACTTTAGCGTTCCCTCGCAAATACTTTA